CCATCACTAGATGAATGAATAAAGAAACTGTGGTATATATACACAATGGAATATTACTCAGCATTAAAAGAGAATAAAATTATGGCATTTGCAGGTAAATGGATGGAGTTGGAGAATATTATGCTAAGCGAAGTAAGCCAATTCCAAGAAACCAAAGACCAAATGTTCTCTCATATGACTGGATGCTTATCCATAATGGGGCAGGGGGGCATGGGGAAAATGGAGGAGCTTTGATAGGGCAAAGGGGATGGAGGAGAGGGGGTATGTGGGCAGGAAAATTGATGGAATGAGATGGATAGACATTATTACCTTAGGTACATGTATGACTGCACATATGGTGTGGCACTACATTGTGTCCTGGCATAAAAACAGGCACAAATGAAAAGTTGTACTGCAATTGTGTACAATAAAAAAAAAAAAAACTCAAGGTCATTTCAATGTAAAAGGCAGACATAACACAGTTTTTGCCCTTTAAAATATTCACACTAAAAGATTGGACGAGAAGGTAGAAAGAAAATTAACACCTCATATAATTTGGAAAAAAATTGAGATGCAAAATCTCATTGAGATATAAACATCTGTAAAATTGAACTTTTCCCCTGTTGTCGAAATACATTAAAGGTTGTTAGTAGTGATTTCAGCATCAAACTTATTTGCATGAGGGCTTCAGTTCTGGATCTGCAGTGGCTGCTCTATGTCTGCAGTCACTTAATGCTATTCAACAGATTTTCTTATCTCTGATTTCTTTTCTTTTTCTTCTTTTCCTTTTTAAACAACAGATTGAATTCAGGATGCTTAACCACTGTGCTACATACCCAGCCTTTTTTTATTATTTTGAGATAGGATCTCCCTAAGTTACTGATGCTGGTCTTAGCCTTGTGGTCCTCCTGCCTCAGCCTCCCCAGTTGCTAGGGTTAGAGGCATGCACCACTACATCTGGCCCTCTCTCTGATTTCTGTGCACATGATAGGACAGCACCTCCTGCCCCTGTTGTTGTTGAGTTGATACATATGACCAGCCTCAGTCTGTAGAATAAGCAAAACCTGCACATGTTCCTATCCTTTGGTCTGAAGCATGTAATTGCCTGAGGCCTCTAAGCTGCTTTCCCTCTGTAGCAAGAATCAGCAAGTGACCATTTAAGCAGCCTGGGCTCTGAGTGAGTATAATCCAGCATGGATGCCCCCAGCTGACACATGATTGATTTGCAGTGTGAGTGAAAAACAAGTCTCATTTTAAATCACTGAGATAGGGAGAAAATCATTACTGTAGAGTCAACCATCTCATTTTCACATATTATTCTTAGATAAGTCATTTTAGCTCTTTGGTCTTCAGGTTTCATCACCTGACTTAGCAAATAAAAGGGGGGAAAAAGAACATTCAGTAAGCATCTCTTGAATATAAGGCTGATTTATTCTTACTAATCAGGCAAGGTATTGTTCCTTGCTAAAATATCCCTGAATCCAAAGATCTCTCTGAACTTCATAGCTAGCATAATAATCTAAGCCACTACCATCTCTTATTGGTCTCACCTTCCTTAATTCTGCTCTAAACTTCCAAAGAATTCTTCCTGCAGATTGAATCAGATCCAAATTCCCTCTAGTTTAAATTATATTCAAGCTATTTATCATGGTATATGAAATTCCATGATCTGATCTCTGCCAATCCCTTCAGTCTAATCATTCAGAATCTCCTGACCAGTCATGAAGTTCTAGTTATCCAGGTCTTCTTGATATCTGATATATGGCTCCTTTCTGCCTCAAGTCCTTTGCACTTGTTATTCCTTTTACTAGGAATATACTTCTTTAGGTTTTATGGTTGACTTTTTAATTGATGCATATTAGTTACACAAAACAGTGGGGTATCATTGGGGTATATTTATAATTTAATGAGTTTCAGTCCCTAACATCCATGTATGAGCAAAAAAACATGCCACACTTGTCTTTGAGTCTGGCTTACTTTGTTTAACATGATTTCTGGTTTTATATATTTTTATGCAAATGACAATCTTGTCTTTCAGGACTGAATGAAAGTCTCTTGTGTATGAATATCAAACATTTATTCATTCATTTGTTGATGAACACTTAGGCTGATTGCTTAACTTGGCTTTGGTGAATTATGTTGCTATACACATGGGCATTCATGCATTTCCAAACTATGTTAACTTTTATTCTTTTGGATTAATATCAAGGAGTGGTATAGCTGAATCACATGATATTGCCAGTTTTGTTTTGTGAGAAATATCCAAACTGATTTCCATAGTGGTTGCACATTCCAACTAACAGTATATTAGAGTTCCTTTCCCCCACATCCTGTCCAATATTTATTGTTGTATTCTTAATGATTGTCATTTTAGCTAGAGAGAGATGGAATTTCAAGGTAGTTTTTGATTTGCATTCCTTGATGGCTAAAGATGTTGAAATATTATAAAAATATTTATATAATTGTTGGCCATTTGCACACTTTTGGAGAAGCTTCTGTCTAGTTCATGTGCCCATTTTGTGAATGGGTCATTTGATAATTTGATGTTGAGTTTTTCCACATAATTGGACTATAACTTCTCCCTTAGTAGAGTAGCTGGAAAGATTTTCTCTTATTTTTGTAGCCTGTTCTTTACATTGCTGTTTCCTTTGTTATGGAAAAGTTTTTTAATTTAATAGAATTCCATTTATTGATTCTTACTTTTACTTCCTGAGATATAGGATTCCTATTCAGGAAGCTGTTGCCTCGACCTGTACGTTGGAGTGTTTCCTCTATGTCGTCTTCTCCAAGTTGCACACTCTCGGGCCCTACACCTGGGTCTTTGATGCATTTAGAGTTGACTTTTGTACAGGGTGAGAGATGGGAGTCTAGTTTCATTCCTCTACATATGGTGATCCAGTTTCCCTGGTACCATTTTTACAGAGGTTGTCTTTTCTCCAATGTGTGTTTTTGGCACATTAATCACAGAATCAGGTGACTTGTAACTGTGAGGGTTCATCTTTACAACTTGTATTCTGTTCCTTTGACATTTGTGCCTGTTTTTATGCCAGAACTATTCTGTCTTTGTTACTATGGCTCTGTAGTATAATTTGGGAAAAACTAAAATCATGTTCTCTAACAGGAGAAGGATGTTCATTTTTACCATTCCAATATAGTGCTTGAATATATTTCTTTTTCCCCAAAATGAGAATTTAACCCCCAGGGGCTTAACCACTGAGCAACATCCTCAGCACTTTTATTTTTTATTTTGAGGCAGAATCTCACTAAATTGCTCCAAGCCTTGCTAAGTTGCTGAGGCTGGCCTAGAATTTGTGATCCTCCTGCCTCCTGTACTGCTGGGATTATAGGCATGAGTCACCATGCCTGGTAGAGTACTTGCTTTTTAGCAAAAGTATATAGTTAAGAGAATAAAATAAAAAGGATTTAAATAGAAATGGAAGAAGTCAAAGGAAGCCTATTTGTAGATGATATGATCCTGTACTTAGAAGAGCCTAGAGACTCCACTGGAAGAACATAGATCTGATAAATGAACTAATCAGAGTGAGTAGAAACAACACAAAAGAATCACTTTTCTATATACCAATAATGACTCCACTAAGAAATTAGGAAAATAATTCCATTCACAATAGCTTTAAAAAACACCTAGGAATGTGTCTATCCAATGTAAAACATCTGTACAAGGAAATTACAGAATGCTGAGAAAAAAAACAGATGTAGACACTTAGTATGAAAAGAATTTCCATGTTCATGGACATCCAGAATTAATACTAAAATGTCCTCTTTAAGAAGTGACCCACGGGAGGCTGGGGATATAGCTCAGTTAGTAGGGTGCTTGCCCCGTATACACAAGGCCCTGGGTTCTAATCCCCAGCACCACCAAAAAAAAAAAAAAAAAAAAGTCACGTACAGATTTGATGTTATTTGGATCAAACTACCAATGACATTCTTCACAGAACTAGAGAAAAAAGTCCTAAATTTTATATGGAAAAGACCCAGAATATACCAAGCAATCCTGAGCACAAAGAGCAATGCTGGAGTTATTATAATACCCAATTTCAAATTGATTCATTTTTCATCCTTTTGACCTCAGCCCAAAGTGTGATATTGAACTAAACTTGTTTGTCCCTTGATAAATAATTGTCAGTTATTATCTGAAATTGTATTCGCTTATTAATTCACTTGTATTTTCAGAATTCCCTAATGTAACAGCAGATCATCAAGGGTAGAGATCTTGCATTTCCTGTTCACTGATGTTTTCACAAAGCTCAAAATGTAGCTTGGCACACAGTGAATTCTCAAGAGTTATTTGTTGAATAAAATAAAATTAGTGATGCAAATAAGGAAATAAGACTGGGAGTTTGAAGATATTTCCTTATTTTCCTCTATTTCTATATCTGTATGTCACATTGATCATGTTTTCTGGAGAGCTCTGAATCTGCAAGGGAAAAGATAATTTGACAAACCTATTGATGCTCCATTTTGTCATGTTTCACAGGTGACAAGGATCACGGGTGATTTGTACTGTGCTACTTATCACTGCACAACTTGCATTTGTATTTCCATCCAAATCTACATGTTTACCATGACGCTCATCAGTATTTCCCAAAACTTGGCAAACTGCATTGCGGGAACTGCCTGCCCACTGCTTATTTATTCCAGAGTCATAGACTGTGTGCGCTCCATTCCCAGCTGCTTCCCATTCGCAAAAAGCTATCTCCCTCCTCCCTGCTCCCAGCGCAGGAAACCAGCACATCCTGTAGTCCAGCATTTTCTAGGAGCTCTGCAGCCAGCAGCCTGTGGGGGGCGGGCGGGGCTCTGTCATCTCCAGGGTTCTGTCTCCAGGGCTCTTGCACACAGCTCTGCAGCCTGAGCAGCCCCAGCTGGAGACCACAGCGCTCCTCTCTCCCAGCCTCCTTCACCTAGTCTGTGCGCTCTAGATTGCGTTCTCTTTCCTATCTGGCTCTGCTTTGGACTGAGCCTCATACTAGGGAACGCTGGGATCTTTGATTTTACTGACAGTGATGGGAAAACTTGAAAATGCCTCATTCAACAGTTCCGAGGGCTGCCTCTGCGGGCCTTGGCACAGCCACTTCTTTCTCCCTCTCGCAGTGGTGTATGTACTGGTTTTTGTGGTGGGGGTGGTGGGCAATCTTCTGGTGTGCCTGCTGATTCTTCGGGACCAGGCCATGAAGACACCCAAAAACTACTACCTGTTCAGCTTGGCCGTCTGTGACCTCCTGGTCCTGCTGCTGGGAATGCCCCTGCAAGTCTACGAGATGTGGAGCTACTCTCCCTTCCTGCTCTGGCACCTGGGCTGCTACTTCAAGACAGCTCTCTTTGAGACCGTGTGTTCCGCCTCGGTCCTCAGCATCACTGCGGTCAGCGTGGAGCGCTACCTGGGCATCCTCCACCCCTTCTACGCCCAACGGAAAAGCACCTGCCGGAGGGCTCGCAGCATCCTTGGCCTTATCTGGGGCTTCTCCCTCATCTTCTCCGTGCTCAGCACCATCATCTATGGCTTTAGGGTCCCCTACATCCCCAGTGAGACCTGGGTTCCTGGCTCTGCCACCTGTACAGTCATCGAGCCCATGTGGATCTACAATGTCTTCATCCAGGTCACCTCCTTCCTCTTCTACGTCCTCCCCATGACGCTCATCAGTGTCCTCTACTACCTGATGGGGCTCAGGGTGAGTAGCCAGGATAACTGGTCAGGGCAGCATTGCTTCATTTCACTGCCCCAAAGTTCAGAGACAAACTTACAATTGGAGAACGTCAGAATTGGAAGGGAGCATGGAGGAAAATAGGATGAGTTCAAATGGAAAATTAAAAAGTTAAAGGACTTGCCCAAAGCTAAGTAGCAAACCTACAACCACATACAGTTTCCAATAGCTAATAATTTGCCATCATTCTTCCCTCTATACTTGTTCTCATATCTTAAGTTATTGTTTTTTTTTTCTTTTTTAATAAGAATTGGCTGGGAAACTTACTATGGGTCCCAATAGGCACACCTTACCCACAGGGAAATCAGCTTCAGGAGGTTTGAGGTGGGGCCTCACTTTAGATAAGTGCATCAGGCCATCTGGGCTTGGTAGAAACACTGAGGGACTCTTCCACACCCTACTGTCTCTTTCCTATCTACTGCCTGTGTTGACATTGACCTCTTTATGAACTTGATCTGAGTATACCATGAAATATAGATACCTACTATATAATCTGAGACATAAAGTCAAATACTTCATTGTGGTTGCTTTGACCATGTGGTTGAAATAACAAAAAATCAAACACACACACACACACACACACACACACACACACATATATATATATATATATATATATTTTTTTTTTTTTTTCTCCTTAATAAGATCAACCTGCTCTCCTCTTAATCAGGTGGAATTAGAGAGGTGGGGAGATAAACAGACCACATGAGATACAGTAAAAAGAAAATGTGAATAAGAGACATCTGGAATTAAGGCAAATATTACTTAATTTACAAAATCTCCTGTCATTAGATGTTTCTTTCCTATTCTTGTGTCATGAAACTAATTCCTTCATTCTTTCTTTCCTTCACTTTTTAATTTCCATTTCTAGGACTATATTAAGCTGAGTTTCTTTGACAAGGGTAGGATTGAGTCCATATAATTTCTGGTATATTCTGTCCCCAAATGTATGGAGGTACAAGTCTTGACTGTGACAGTTTTATACCTGTGTAAGAAAGTAGCTTTTGTGACAGCTTTGAAGTGATTTATACTCCCAGGACCTCAGCTGACATAGAATATGCTTTTAGGGAAGCCACATAATTCTCCTTGAATGACTTTTCCATTCATAAAATAAAAAGGTCACATTAGGTCACATCTAAGGCCCCATCTAACGCTAGAGGTCTGTGATTCCTTTAGGGAGGGAGGGGGAGCCATGTGTGATATGAATGGAAAGAAAACAAAATAGTTACGTCCATCCTATGCTTTAAGATGGCTCTGACTCTATGTGACAATTAACATACTCCCATCTGAGTCCAACCTTGAGAAAGAGAATTTTCAAAATGGATCATTCCACAGGTGAATCTTTTTGAAGACATGTTGTCCCTAAGATGAACATCAAGGTCTATGTAAAGAAGAACAAATTTTCAGTGTCACCGACCTTTGAGCACTGGAGTATACCTAATCACACAGAGCACTGTGTTATGTTAGTTTCCTCTTGGAGGGTGGCTCTTCATTCTCCTGGTGATATGTTACCCCAGAGCAGCTCCCAGCCATGTCTTAGAATGCCTTGTGCATCTCAGAGGAAGAGACACCTACAAATGTTCAGACATCTTCGGTCATAAGAGAAATCCTCACCTAGAACTTATCAATATCATCTTCTCCAACACCAAACACTTATCTGGGGTCAATTTGGGGGAAATATTGAAATCTGAACAGACACATGTTTACCCAACTGTCACCTTTGTTTCATTGTCATAAAGTCACTGATGTTTTTTCTTAAGTTTGTGGAAGTGTTTATGTTTTAAAAATAGTTTCAAAAGAACAGGATGCTTGAATATGATGTATTACTATTCAAGTGGGAAAAAAAATTCCCAAATTTCTCTGCTAAGTTGGCACCAATAATTAAACAAACAGATTAAAGGGGACAATCTCTATGGAATTATGATTTAAATTATGTTGTAAGTAATTCATTCTGTTATATCCTCTCAGGCTTAAGATCACATTCAGAATTAAATAGAAAAATTTCTAAGCTAGAAAGCAAAAATGGGAAAATCAAGTAGTTAGCTACTTGATTCTACCATATCTAAACAAAAAGTCTGGGTAGTTTTGAAATTAAGTACCTCTTGGGATAATTACTATCATCAACAATTCACCATGAAATGCCTATACCTAATAAGCTGGTTTTCTTCTCTGTTCTGTTCCTTTGTCCTGGCATGTATATGCCTAAGTTCAGTGAAGACTACTGAGATCAGAGAAGCAAGAGACAGAGTAACAAAGTCAACCCAAGAAGTTCCAGGGCCCTAGAGTATTTTCTGTAGTTGGTCACAGTCATTTATGTTTCAATACAGAAGACTTAATAGGCTATTCTGGGGAAAAAAAATATAACTTTGCTATTAGGTTACCCTGTAAAAAACCATCATATAGACAGCCTGTACTAGGCAATTAGCCTAAAGCTCTTGGATCATGATAGAAACAACAAAAATAACAAGAAGAAAGACTTGGATTTTCCTACTGAAAATTTTTACTATTTGTTGTTGAGGCCTAAAGAAAGTAGCTTTGCCCATTATTTGCAGCCTAGAATTAAGGACAACAACTTGTGTTTGAGCCAATTAGGAACAAGACCAAACTTTCTTCTTAGGTCTTTTTAAGTTGACAAGTGGCACTTCCCTAATGAAGTTTTTCATATAACTTTTAACAAGAACTCATAAGTAGTACCCAAGAGATGAGAGACTGATGGTAATTCAGATGGGCACCTCTGAAAAGCCTTGTCAGTGTCCTGTCCCATTCTAGACAGATTGGTTTGAAAACCTTTGGAAAAGACTAAAAATCCACCAGTTTGAGACTGTATGTGAGTTTTCACACATTAATTGAAAAAACAACAATCACAGTATGGTTCCCAACAGACGTTCACAGATAATGTCATGGAAAACATGAGCACTGTGAATCATTGCAGTAGGCAGATGATCCTTAATGGGACCTTAAAAATCAAAGCAAACGTCTTGCTGAATCCATTACAAAAATGAATAGGCACCAAGCCAAGATAATACATTCCAATTCCAGAGCATTTCAATGCCCTGAAAGCCTAAGTGTTTGTGGATTTGTCATGATGCTTGTGGTCTTGAAATGTTTCGACATGTGTCTGTTCAGATTTCAATATTTTCCCCAAATTGACCCCAGATAAGTGTTTGGTGTTGGAGAAAACGATATTGATAAGTTCTAGGAGAGGATTTATCTTATGACTGAAGAGGAGTGAAAAGGACTCTGTTGTCCCTGTCATTGTCATATCCTGAATTGTAAACTCTGGGGCATTGAGGTGGTTTTGGAGAAGGCAAGATGAGTCTTCATACAGACCAAACATGAGTGCTGCTACAGTTGTTTTCTGCATCAATGAGGGAACAGATCCCATGGTACAAGTTTCAAAATCTACCCTCCCTCAACTGAAGCACAGAAATATGGGTGGTGTTTTTTTTTTTTTTTTTTTTTTTTTGTGTGTGTGTGTGTGTGTGTGTATGTACCAGGAATTGAACCCAAGGGCATCCAAATACTAAGCCACATCCCCAGCCCTTTTTATTTTATTTTTGTTTTGAGACAGGTTCTAAGTTGCTGAGGCTAAGGGTGACTTTGAACTTGGGATCCTTCTGCCTCAGCCTCCAAAGCCACTGTCATGGTGGGTTTTGATTCCATACAGCTGCTGCTGAAAAGGTATCTTTTAATGAGAAATGTGGTCGTTACATTGTTGAAAGCTATGCAGCAGCCACAAAAGTTAATGCCTCATGTCACCAACATTTGTAATGTGAGGCACTATATCTTATTTTGAAGATTGGTGGCCTTTTTTCATGAACTTCTGGCAACATCATGTTGTTTTTGATGTTTCTTTGAACCCTCGTGATTGCCTGGCCTTGGCTTTGTACCTGGAACACCAGCTGAACCGGTTGTTGTGGGGGGTGCCAGCTTTTTGGCATCTTTCCCATTTTCTTCTACGGTTGCTGGTCAGGGTCTGTCTTCTGGGGTAAATTTTGATAACTGAATTTCCATGGCATGGGTGCCAGGACCCATGCCCAGTGTCAACAACCCACAGGACAATGATGAGTGAAGCTGTGAGCTCAGGCCTGGTCCTCTTAGCTTTTTTTTTTTTTTTTAACTCAGGAACTGAGTGACAAGTGACAGAGAACAGGTTAGAAATCACCCACGTTTGCTTTCTTTATTTTTTTCTTCTTTTAATTATTATACATGTTTATTGTAAAAGCTTTAAACAACACATATATTCAAAGAAGAAGATAAAATTATCAAAAATTTTACCCCATGCATATAAGAATATTAATTTTTAGAGCATATCCTTCTAAACTTCTTTATATACATTTTTGGACTGGTAGCATAAGTCAACAATTTTATATAGAGAGCATCATGCTGAACATTACTATTTAAAATTTTTTTTTAAACTTTGTTTTATTTTTTATATTAACTCAATTATTTATTTTAATTAGGTATATATGACAGCAGAATGCATTGTGATTCATTGTACCAGGTTTGGTTTCTGGGTGTAATGCAACTTATGACATCCTATTCTCAGGAAGGATGGATGAGAAGTTACCCAGGTACCAGAGGACAACAGAAAAGGAGCCACTTGCTCAGAAATTCTTTCTAGAAACAAGTGTAATATCTGTGTTCTAGAAGCTTGAGAATTCAGCTCTGCTGTGCTGGGATTTTGTACCTGTTGCCTAAGACATCCCTGCTGTCCACTAAGAGTTAAAAAGAGTCTTAGTTATCCTCTAAGTCATACTCAGTCACAGTTAGTCAAGAAAGTTCTCCGGGTCCTCTAGTCCATGTTATAGGTGCTCAGAGCCCCTAGTGATTTTTCTTTATTACAATTAGTAATTCTATATTGGTAGTTTCCTTAATTTATTTCTCCTAATCTGAACCATAAGCTCAGTGAATGGATGAGGCTAAAGGACTTCTCTTTTCCTGGGCTTCAAGTTCTGTACTTTTCA